CTCCACGCCCTGCTCCTGCTTCAGCTTGTAGAGTTTCTGCCGAAGTACGTCCTGGTGGCGCTCACGGAGCCTGGGGACAGGCGGGGGTCACGTGGGTTCCCACCGGCCTGCTCCACCGAGCTGGGGTGGCTGGAGGAGGGGCCCTGTGGACGCCGAGGACAGATGGACAGATGGACAGACACTGCAGAACAGCCCAGGAAAGGCACCCTTGGACGCTGTGTTTATGTGACCATGCCAAGCACTCAGGGAATCTGGACAGTTCTCATGACCAGCCAGGGAGGGCCTGGGGGTGGGGGTGGGGGTGCGTGGGAGGGCAGAGGACAGAAAGACAAAGATAGGGAAGACAGGGGGAACAAGGGAGGGGGGATGGGAGGGGGGAAACAACACATACAACACACAGAGGACAAGTGCATGGGACAGGCGGGCAGCACCCCAGGCCCCAGCTTGCTGGGCCCAACTCCAGGGAGCTCACCTGGCCCGGGCCATATGTGCGCGCAGTTGCTGCAGCAGGCTCTCCCAGTAGCCCATGTCCAGGTTGGGGCCACCTGCCCGGATCTTGGCATCGATGCCCTGGAAGATGACCTGCAGCTGGTTGAATGTCTTGCCCTTGAACACTGACTGCACGTCCGAGCTGACAGACGCATTGACCCCCTCACGGCGCTCGCCTGCAGGGTAGGGCTGTTGAGTACAGGCTGGGGTGCCCACTGTGGCTCCCACCTGCCACCCTCCAAAGGCTAGCCTGACCGACTGACAGAGGAATAGCTGGGAGTGCCTGCCTTAGCTATCGGTCGCAGTGACCCTGACCCCAATGTCCCCAGCACCTCTCTCTGGCTGGGAGGGAAAAGGCCAGAATCAGGAAGGTATTTGCAGCAGAAGGCCGGAGTCCAAGCTCTGGGGTACCTTCAAGACCCTGGTGTTGGCTGCTCACCTGGGCCTTTGCCCGAGGCCTCGAGCTTTCGAAGCTTATTGATCTCATCCTCTGTGATGGTCGTCATGTCCCGCCAGAAGTCCACATTCTTGCCCTGTTCCAGCTCCATGTACACCTGAGGGGTGAGGTGTGAAGGACGTGTTCACAAGGGGCAGGGCCAGCAGGAGGCCAGGGAGGGCTGCCTCAGTCCTAGGGTGGCAGATGCTGGGGCGTGGCTCAGCCCTGGAATGGAGTGGTTGCCAGGAGTATGGCTTGGGCTATGGGCGGAGCTTTTATCCACGTCCCTGGGGAGTGGCACTGTCTCAGGGCTGGGCGTGGCTGAGCTGGGGGCAGAGCTAAAGCAGCTGGACAGTAACCTGGATGTCCTCTAGCAGGTCCTCCATGTCTGCCACGGTCAGGCCATTGAGAAAGGTGTAGGGCTCATGCATCTCCACAGCCAGGTCATCATCCTCGGCACTGATGTACTTGGCCAGCAGGTCTATGGGTTTGGCCCGCCCATCTCGGATTCGGATCTTTGAGCTGTCAGAGGATACAGGGTCAGAGCCAGAGCGTGGGGACGAGAGAGGGCTATCCAGGAGCACAGGCTGTACCAGAGTACCTGTGCCACCTTACCCCAGAGCTGACAGCGGGACCTCTCCCCCAGGGGCGTGGGTGTCCCCAGTCCTCATTGGGGTGGGGTGTGAGGATTGGGGTCACCAACATGTCCCACCAGGTCTGCACTCATTTTGTGCCACCCGAGTTACCCAGCAACCTAACTACCCCACCCCATTTGCTCTGCTCCACAGATTATGGAGGGAGGTGTCCCACCAGCAGCCCAGCAGAAGCCAGGGAGCAGCGGTGTGAGGGAGCCTGTGTGAAGCTGTGCAAAGGCCGGGTGGAGGAAGGGCACAGGCAGGGGAAGGGGGGCACACCGCAGCTTGGCCTGCTGCAGGTGGAAGTTGTCCTCCTGCTCCTCCCAGGTCTTGAAATGCTCCGCCTCCTTCTCCCTCTGCAGCAGCTCCAGCTCTTGCTCCCGCATTGCCTTCTCCCGTTCCCGCTCCAACCGGAGCTGCTTCACCTAGGCCAGCGACACCCAGAGACATCACTGTAAGGGACACGGCCCACCCAGACCGTGGGACAGCTGGGGCTACCTCTACGTGCGTTAGGTGTCTGGTAGTTGAGGCGAGGCCCAGAGATGGGGGGCACCCTTGCTCCTGGATCTAGCTGTGCCTGAAGCCACTCACCTTCTGTAGCTCCAGGCGGTTGTCCTCCTGGATCCTCTTGTTGCGCTCCTTCAACTCTTTCTCTTCAAGGTGGCTGATCCCCTTCTTCTCCAGTGCCTGTCAGATGTGGATACTGAGCTACTGTGGTGCCCAGCTGCACTGGGGAACCAGACTCACAAGAGAGCTGCCAGTGGGGGACACCACAAGCCAGGCTTCAAGGGGCATGTGACCATCAAAGGGACTGCCAGGGCCTAGGGCAGGGCTCGAGGATGGAGCTACTGGCTCAGGGATGGGACTCAACCAGGGGGGAGGGGGCAGAGTGTTCCCACCTTGTTCCAGATGAAAGTACCCAGAAGGTTGTTGTCCCCGAATGGATTGTCTGTGTTGGTGTAGCCCATGTACTCCTCACCCCAGCCCATCTTCTCCCGCTTTTTGCGCTCCTTGGCTTCCTTCTTAGCTAGGCGCCGTGCACGCTTCTCCTCCGGGGTCTCGAAGGCTTTGAGCAGCTCTTCCTGCTGCCTCCGCTCCTCTCTAAGCCGCAGCCGCTCCTGCAGGTTCTGCTGCTGGCTCAGAGCCAGGGCTGTCGTCCCTGGGCTTCGGGAACGCCTGGGAGACCTGGTGCTGGATGAAGATGACCCTGGGGACCAAGAGTGCCGGCGATTCCTGACACCCAAGGAGCCCCGAACCCGCTCCTCCCCGGAGTCAGACTGCGAGGACTGATCCCGGGAGCGCCATCGGGGTGGCTGGGGGCTCCAGCTGCACCTCCCGGACCTCTGCCACCTGTCTTCATCGGATTCGGACCTGAGAAGAGAGGACCCACCGGGCCTGCTCAGTGCCTGCTAGCTGCTGGGTACCATCAGGACTCATCATCCTGAAGACTACGTGGCTCCCCACTGGAGAGATGGGTGTACAAACCAGAGGGTGACAAATGGGGGTGGGGGGATATGGGGTGGAGCTGCAGGTTAGCAAGGTGAGAGAGGCTTCTCAAAGGAGGCAAGCTCCCCCAGGAACTGGGGGACAGAGTTCTGAGAGCATCTGAGTAGAAGGAACAGTTGCAGGAGCAAAGGTCCTGGGGCAAGAAGGCACTTTGGACCTTCAACCTAAGGACACAGCCGCTATTAACAAGTGGGCCTGACCAAGCACATCCGTCAAGGGAAGGGGTAAAACAGGGGAAATATAGGAGACTTTTTTGTTTTTTTGAGACAGGGTCTCACTGGGGCCCCAGCTGGCCTGGAGCTCACTATGCAGACCAGGCTGGCCTAGAACTCAGAGATCCTGCTTCTGCCTCCAAGTACTGGGAATAAAGGCATGTGACACCACACCCCGCTAGGATGGTAGGTTAAGGACGAGGGATGATAAAGGAGGCTGTTTGGATGGACTCTTTGCTATGTGAAGGGCGGTGTATGTGGACAAACACCACAGGGCAATATTTTATTAAGAGCCCCGTCTATTTAGATCGCAACAAAACAATCTACATTAGGGGCTAGATAGTTCTGTAGGAGCACTTGCTGAGCAAATACGAGGACCTGACTCCCACGCACCCACGGAAAAAGCCGGAAGTGGCTATTTGCACCTGTAACACCAGCACTTGGCCGGAGGTGGGGGGGGGGGCTTGCTAGCCACCAGTCCAGACAGTAACAGAAGAGAACACTCAGTGTTCTCCTCTGCATGCATGTGCAACCATGAACACAAAAGATCTGAACTATGGGCGATACCTGATGGCACATGCCAGTGAACCCAGCACTGAAGAGGCTAAGGCAATAGGATCGCTCGCTCTCTCTCTCTCTCTCGCTCTCTCTCTCTCTCTCTCTCTCTCTCTCTCTCTCTCTCTCTCTCTGCGAGTTCGAGGCTAGCCTTGCCTACAGAGTGAGTTCCAGGCTAGCCAAGGCTAAATAAGACACTATCTCTGAATGAATGGCAAGCGCATCCTCGTTCCTCGCTAACGTCTGCGTAGCTCCCCATTGCCTGGCCGCGCCTCGTTCGCCGTCCTGCCGCTGCCGGGTCAACTTCTGAATCTTTCTGCAGCAGCCCCGCTGACAGCGTCCGCAGGGTGTCCCGTAGCGCCGCGGGCCAGACGCTGGACTTACCGGCGCCCCCGACCGCGCCGTCTGCGCCTGCGCCGACCTTCGTCCTCCCGGCGCCGTCGGCTTCTCCGCCCATGGCTTCTGCTGCGGCTGCGGCTGCGGCTGCGGCTGCGGCTGCGGCTGCGGCTGCGGCTGCGGCTCTCGCTCCGACTTCGCTGCCTTTGGCCTCGGCGACCCGGAGACCGTGAGCGCGAGCGAGTGTCGCGACCCATTTGGCGGCGCGCACCGCGCATGCGCGGGTGCAATCAGACAACTGTCTGGGCGCCGGGGGCCTTCCTTAGCCACGGCACATCGTGAGGCTACCCGCAGGACGCCTAGCCCGGAGAGTGAATTTTTCTCGCCGCCCAGGACCCTAGGGATGCCACGGAACCAGAACTTTCTGCGGCCATTGCGTGTTGCATTCATAAAGAACTCTGATGGGGCCGCTGTCAAGCGGAACGGGGAGAGTGCCCATTCAGGCAGTGCTCTAGGCAGCCCCAGACGGGTCTTCTCGTCGTAGGGGCCTGAGGACCTGTGGGCAGGGAAATCAGGACCAAAGTGGGGCGGGGCTTAGGGACGCGGGACCAAAAGAGGCGGCTACGGAGAGAAAGTGCAGTCCGAACGGTCAGGGTCTATCAAGCGAGTTGGACAAGGAAGGAACAGTGGGTGGGGCGTGGGGCGGGGCCCTGGGAGGAAGACCCTAAAAGGGGCGGTTACAGGGAGGAAGTGGAGCCTGGGTGGGCGGGATTTAAGGAAAGATCCCCCGTTGGTGAATATGTGGGCGGAGCCAGGGAAATGAGGGCTTGTGTGGGGCGGGGTCTAGGAAGGAGGACCTATGATGTCCGTTATAGGAAGGACCAGGAGCCGAAGTGGGCGGGGCTTAGGAAGCAAGATTGACAGACGGATCTGAGGGCGAGGCCAGGGAAATGGGAACTGTGAATGCGGAGGAACCAAGAGGCAGGTGCATAGAGAAAAGGGAGCCTAGGGTACCAGAGGGCAGGTCCTGAGGAGACGGAGCTGAGAAGAGGCTTGGGAGGAAGGGTAGCGGGTGGGTGGGACTTAGAGGTAAGACCTATAGGCATGGATTTGAGGGTGGGGCCAGTAGGATCGGGAATTGTCAACCGGGCGGAACCGAAAGGCGAGTACAGGAAGTGAAGCCGTGGAGAGTGGAGCCAAAGGCTGAGGGCGGGACCAAGGAAACCACGCGTTCGCGCCGTGCTTGGGGGCGGGGCCTGGGGATTAAGGGGGGGGTAGGTGTGGTCAGGACGTGGGGGCGTGGCCAGGGAGGGTGTTCTGAAGGGCTGAACCCTGGAAAGAGTCGTCCCCAGAGGCCTAGAATTGCGAGTACGAGGCTAGGGTGGAGCACATGGCAAAACTCTGGGCCCCAAACGAAGGACACAAAATCCAAAATAAAAAAACAAGAAAGGAGACAAAAGTTTCTAGATGTCTGTCTGGGATTTTTTTTTAATTTTTTACGTATGTGAGTGTATTGCCTGCATGCATGTAAGTTCACCTGTGGAGTCAGAAGAGGGCCTTGGATCCCGTGGAAGTGGAGTTACAGACGAAGGTCGTTAGCTGCTATGTGGTTGCTGGGAATCTAATCCAAGTCCTCTGCAAGAGCATCAGGTACTCTTAACCACTGAACCATCTCTCCAGCCCCCAGGTCTGGGTTCTTATTCCACTAGACAGCCTGCATCTAGGATGTTAAACTCTTGGCTGGTTCTCTGACATCCCCATCAACCCTTTTTCCAGATGGGAAAAGTGAGGCTCTGGGAAGGGAAGTCACCTTAACAGTTATCCTGTGTACTGGGGTCTGACACATGAGAGCCTGGGAGAGATGAAGCAGGTGGGAGTTCCCACAGGGCCAGTGGCAGCGTGGGAAGCAGGCCGAGTGCCCTGTCCACACACAAGCAGGGTGTTTGTAGATGGTATTTGATTTTGTTGAGTGTCTTGTGTAGCCCTGGCTGGCCTCCAACTTGTAAGGTAGCCAAGGATAACTGAACTCCCAATCCTCCTGCTTCCACCTCTAAAGTGTTGGGAGGACAGACTTGCATTATAGCATCCAATTCAGCTTTTTAGATTGTGTGTGTGTGGCTTTTGGAGACTCCTTTTTGGGTCTCCCCGTAGCCCAGCTGACCTTGATCTCATAGTGATCCACCTGCCTCAGACTCCCGAGTGCTGGGAGCAAAGGCGTGCACCAGCACACCCAGCTGCGATATGAAAGCCTCTTCTGTTGCCCAGTCTGGCCTAGAAATCAGACTCAGGCTATCCTCCTGCCTCAGCTTCCCAACTACCTGAACAGCACTGGACAGTGCTCATCACTCCCTCCATTGAGACCTCACCCAACCTTCCGACCCAACCAGACCTCAGAGCCCTGAGAGGTGATGGGAGTCAAGCTGTTTATACCTGATTTATTAGAGATCTTTTCAACGTAAAAAGAGGGGCTGTGGTTGGGCGGGGGCCTGGGCTGCATACAGATGCGGCTGGGCTGGTCGGTGCCATGGGACACCGTGGATTGTCACACACACCACACTGCAGGGACTAAGGACCAGGGACCCCCCCTGGCCCTGATGAGATTTAAGACACACGAGGCTTCTAGTTTTCTTCCAGAATGGGTTTGGCCATAAAAAGATTGGGGGCAGTAAGAGTGAGTGATCGGGTCATCTATCCTGGGGTGGGGACAGTACCATGGTGAAGGACCCCACAGGGCAAGCATATTGCACTAAGGTGTGGGGGCAGATGGGAGATGTCCAGATGGCTTAGGGGGGCAGAGGCTGGCAGGGACCCCTAGGGTCTTACAGTACAGTTCACATACCATCCATGGCAGGCCATAGCAGCCATCAGAAGAGTCAGGGGATGAGTGACAGTATCACACAGATATTTAAAGATTCTTTGAGACAGGGTCTCACATAGCCCAGGATGGACTCCAACTTGCTATGTAGCTGGAGACCCTGACCTGATCCTCCCGCCTCAGCCTCCCAAATGTTAGGATGACAGGGGTGTACCACCAGATCTAGTTTATGTGGTGCTGGGGATAAACCCAGAGCTTCATGCGTTCTACCCACCAAGCTATAAGCACTTGACCCACTGAGCCTCAGCTCCAGTCTTTTTTTCAGTCCCTTGAGACAGGGTTTCATTCTGTAGCCCAGGCTAGCCTAGAATTCACAAGCCTTGGCCTCCCAAATGCTGCGATGACACAGGCCCTTCCTTGAGGATGTGGCCAGATTACCTGTAAACAGGCCTTGTCTTTCCATCCCCTAAATAAACTAATACAGCCACCCACCACAGCACCATCCACTGTACAGGTCCCCTGAAAGCAACAACAGCCGACATTAACAAACAACGCAGGGGACTCTGGTATCAGGGTGAGGGGTCTGTCCAGACGTCCCACTGTGCCCCCCACCCACCAGCACTCAGGGTATCCTCTCCCTGCCCCTGCCCCCCTAAGCCACTCAGGTCCTGGCCTCTGTGTCCCTAAGGTGACACACAGTGGGGCAGCATAGTGGGGAGCTGCCACTGGGCTTTTGGAGTCTTCTAGAAGCTTTGGCTGCCGCACCAAGCCCACTCTGACTCCTTCAAATGGCCTGGTGAGTGGGGTTTCCATGTGGCCGGAGACACAGCAGGTGACTGTCCATGACACACCTCCTCCCAGGAGTCCTGTGTTGGCGGATTGAGTGGGGGATATGCGCAGAAGAGGGCCAGCTCCATGCTCCCCCATCCCCATGGACACAGCTGTCCCTGTCTTTCCTTCTCCAGACAGGCCGTCTGCCACTCTGCCCTGTGTCATTCTGCAGCCTGATACACCTTCAAGTCTCTCTCTTCCCAATAGGCCTCTGGGGAACACATGGTCCACAGCAGTTGAGGTAACCCGGGCAGCCTGAAGCATGGTTTTCCCAGACAGCCCAGGCATGATTATAACCATGTGACATTTGGGCTTGGGAGACATCTGGGTCTTGAGACAGAGAATCCAGTCTGCAGGATGTGTCATGGCATGTACTGGTCTGCCAGGTCCCCAAACCTGAGGCTAGCAATGGGCTCCACTTTGGGGATGGTGGAGACCGTGGGGAACGGTGGCCACTAACCCTCAGGAGCCCAGATCCATCCGGGGTGTTGAGGGGAGGCTCTGGGGCTGTCCCTGAAGTGAGCTGTGGAGTGTGAACTTCACCAGAGCCACCATGGTCGGGTCCCCAGAGCAGGACACGTAGAGCTGGGAGCCACTGGGACAGTGGCCGTGGCCTCCTGGGTTTGTGTCTTTTTGTGTTTTTCCTAGAAAAGCACTTGTGTGCTCTTTCTCTGTGCAAAAAAGGACCCAAAATAAATACAGGACCAGGCGCTGCAGAGGTTGCCAGCCCAACGGGTGCAAGCAGCAGTGTGAGGTGCCCGGAGCTGTCGGGGATGGCAAGGATGAGGTTGGGCTGGGGCACCGCCAAGCTCTGGACCCCATTTGGGGACAGCGCCTCTGAGAAGTGGCCAGGGTGGCGGAGGACCTCGGGGCTCCAGGTTGGGAACTGCATAGAAATTACTGCAACAAGGACAGGGCCCAGTGAGGGCAGTAGGGACCCCATAGGTCCCCACAAAAGCCCACAGATCCCCACAAGCCCTCATAAAACCCCAGTTCCCCACAAAACGGAAAGGGGCCCCGCACCACCCACTGGGGCCAGGACTGACTTCCTGGATCGCCTGACAAACAAGGATCTGGAGAAGTTGGAGATCTGGCTAGCTGGGAAGGAGGAGGCTGGAAATAAAGGAAGGGGCAGGGGAGGAGCTGGGGGAGAGGAGTGGGGGCACGGAGGAAGGGAGGAGAAGGAATTGGGGGAGTCTATGGGGAGGGGTCAGAAAGGAAAGGGAGGGGGGAATCAGAAGAGGGGAGTTACAAGGTGGGGGTTGGAAAAGGGGAGAGGGAGGAGTTACCAGAGGAGGGGAGGGGCTGCAGAGGACCTGAGTTCAGTTCCCAGCACCCACATGGCAGCTAACAACCATCTGAAACTCCAATTCTAGGGGATCTGACGCCCTCTTCTGGTGTTTTCAGGCATCACACACACATGGTGCACTTACACCAGGCAGGCAGAACAGTCATACACGTAAAATAAATAATTATTAAAAAAAAAAACCCAAAAAACAAACCAAGGGCTGGGCATGGTGGCACACGCCTTTAATCCCAGCACTCGGGAAGCAGAGGCAGGCAGATCTCTGAGTTCAAGGCCAGCCTGGTCCACATAGTGAATTCTAGGCCTGCTGGGCTACAAGGAGACCCTGTCTCAAAAAGATCAAAACAGAAACAAAAAAAACCAAGAGTCAGGGAGGAGTCAGAAGAATGAATGGGGGGGGGTTGGGAGAGGAGGAGTTGCAAAAGGTGGGGAGGAATAAGAGAAAAGATGGGGGGGATTGGGGTGTGGTAGGAACTGGAAGAGGAATGGTGTGGGTGGGGGAGGAGCTCGGGCTGTGCGTCCTCCCACCCTGCCTCAGTTTCTTCAGCCACACTTACTGTGTCGCTGTCGTCGGAGGCGGGCGGCGGGCCCGCGCTATAGTGAAGCGGGGAATAGACCCAGCTCCTCTCGTCGGTGGGCTGCGGGCAGGGCACGTGCAGGAGGGCGCAGAAGAGCAGGGAGCGAGCAGACAGGCAGAAGGGAGAGACAGGAGAGAGTGAAAGAGGGGGACCCCAACCCACCTCCACTCCCCTTTGTGACCCAACCCTTGGCCCTGGGAGCAGCAGCAGGCACAGCAGGAAACAGTTAGTGAAGACAGGCTTGGGACAAGGACAGCCAGGATAGTGGTGGGATGGGGCGAGCTGGGCCAGCACTAATCTGCCTGGGACGACTTCTCCTCCTTCTTCTTCTCCTCCTCCTCCTCCTCCTCCTCCTCCTCCTTCTTCTTCTTCTTCTTCTTCTTCTTCTTCTTCTTCTTCTTCATCTTCTTCTTTTTTCCTTTGGAGATGAGGTCTGTCTCACACATTACCACAAGGTAGGAACACTTCACGCTCATTCCCACTTCCTAGTCCCCACTTCTGGAGTTCTCACCTCTCCTGACTCCCCCTCCTCCTCTAACTCCTCCCCCTTATCTTAGTCCCCTTCTCCTGACTCCTGCCCCCCATCCTCCTTGTCCATCTTTCCCATCACCATGGTCATCTCCTGCTGTCCAGGAGATACAAATACCAGCCTTTGGCTTAAGCAGACTTGCTACTGTGGTCTTGGCCCCCTGTACCCCAAGTCAAACACCCAGACTGCTGGGCACCAGGGTGGCCACTGGCTCTCTGGGACCACAAAGCACTGTGGATGTGGCAACACGATGTGGGATTGCTGCAGAAGGTGCGGGGGGTGGGGGCAAAATGGAGCCCCTGTACAGAGCTGCCAGCTGAGTCACCAATCCTAGAGAGCCAGCTCTGGGGAGGATGGCCACCTTGGGGCCGCCCAGTGCCAGGGAGCACAGTCCTGGGCAGGGACACCCTCAGGGAGCCCACACTGAAGAGGAAACACTAGCAGGGGCTGGCCACCCAGTCCTTGCCTAGTCCTCCAGGAACGAGAAGTGGGATCCAGGATCCTGGGGTGACCTGGTTAGGGTCATTGTCAGTCAGGTGCTGTGGAGCCCGACATCATGGGCTGCAGAGGGCGCCATTGTGCAGCAAACCCAGGCTCCCTTCATACAGCCTGAGCTGAGGACACCCTAGGGACACTCTGGTACAGCAGCTCAAGGGTTCACTTGCCATCTGGGCTGGACACAATGTACCCAAACCAGCTAACAATTGAATCAGGTTCAGAGGTTTAGCTTAGCCTTTAACCAGACGCTGTGAAACAGGTAGCCTAAAACTCACTAAATAGATGAGAATGACTCTGAACTCCTGGTCCTCCGGCCTCCACCTTCTGAGTGCTGGGTGACAGGAGTGCACCACCACACCCAGTTAGAACTGGAACTCTAGCTTCCTGTCTGCATCCTGGTCCTGTCCCAGTGCTGCGTAGCTCTGGGTAGCTCAGCCTCTCTGGGCCAGTTACGCAAAACTTGACAGGATAGTAATCCCTGATACACGACACCCACACTGCAGCCCAGATGGCAGTGAGGGAACTGGACTCTCATGGGTTCCCTGTGTAGCCTGTTTCTCCTACTGTAGAGTGAGTATGGAGGGACCAGTATCATCTAGTGCAATCCAGGTCAATGGGCCCTATCTTTTAGGGCCCAGCAATGCTGACCTGCCTGGCCTGCCTTGGAGCAAGGAGCCAAGATGACGAGAAACGCTCACGGACCTAACATGGGCAGGCTGGGTCTTGACACAGGCAGGCTGGGTCCAGCAGGCCTGGCCACAGAAGACACCTACTGCATCGTCCACTTGGGACTGAGTGGCACCCTGGGGTAACAGTGCACACATATCCCTGGCTGCTCAACTACAGCTGTCATATCCCCCTAGTCATTTGAGGAGACAAAGGGCATGGGGCACCTTGCTCAGTGAGGCCCCTTCTCCCAGGGTGACGGGCTGCAGTCACTTACAATGCCCGAGTGGCTCGGTGTCACAGCCCGTAGTCGGCGACGGGGAGAGAAAAGCCAGTGTCTCCCGTGGGCGAACTGGCCACAGAGTGGGCCGGGTTGGAGGAAGAGAGGAGAGGAGAGGGTGAGGTGGGGAAACAGGCTGGGGGACAGGCAGGTGGCCAAGCAGAGGCTGGTGGGCTGGGGACACAAGCTGGCCAAAGCAGGATATGGGAAGGGGCGAATCCCATCAAGACGGGGACCAGCTCCAAAGCCCACACTGGGGGGTGGACGTGGGGACGCCTCATAGGATGTGACCCCAGACAGCCCCAGGCCTTAAGCAGAGCAGGACACGCAAACCCCAAGACTGTGATGCAGACCTAGGCCCTTGGGGTGCTGCTTAGACACATCGGGGGTGTTAGTAGGCAGCACTGTGGGCCTCGGGCAGGGTATGCAGCTGACTCTGGGCCCTACGTGAGATGGGGCACTGGGGACAAGAAGGAATACTGCGATAGGGCTACGTGACCCCCAGGGGGCTACAGCTGTGACCTATAAACGGGTCCAGCAGTCCCCCTAACAATGTTTCCCATAGTGGACAGGAACAGGGTAGTCCTGGATCCCCATGACTTGGACTGAGCCTGCCTCATCCAGGACCTGTTATATCTGCACCTCAGTGTGGGGCTCAGTCCCTCATCGGGCCCCCACACCTGCTCCTGGAGGACAGAGCCTCCCAGTATCACTGCTGCCATAAGGACAAAATATTCTCATTGTATGTTGCTTGGGAACACTGGGTCTTGGCTTCTGCCTGGGTCTCCCCATGGGTCCCAAGAGGGGATGAGCGACCTGCCACCCCAGGTGACACTGGGGAGAGCAGGAGCAAGCGCCCGCAGTGGACAATCGTTGAGGATGCAGAATTTGCACTTGAGTCCACTGAGTGTGGGAGGCTCAGGGCACTTACAAAGTAAATGTCTGTGGCAGGTGCGTCCTCCTCATCTGAGGCCTGGCTGGCGGGCTCTGAGGCCTGGCTGGTCGTGTCCACTTCTACGGTGGCCGTGGCAGACACCCCAGATGAGGAAGCCTCCACCCTGTAGACACAGGACAGTGGCAGGGTTCTGCATGTGGACAGAACCTCTCCATCTCAGGAGACAAATTTTTGGGGGAGGGGGAGGCAGGATCAAGCTCTATAACTGAGACTAGACTGGGATTTGTAGCCATCCTCCTGCCTCAGTCTCCCCAGTGCTGGGTGACAGGAATACGTGTGCCACATGGGACACAAGCTCCTGAACAACTCAGCCTGGGGACCCCTTGTGCAATGGATGGAACCAGCAGAGACTTTGTGGCTCTGTAGGACATCCCAGCCATTCAGGGTACTGAGTGGAGACCCCACATCAGGTGCTCCCCAGTGTGAAGGGCACAAGTCCCCAGACACAGGCCAGATACGGCTGAGAGCTCAGATCCAAGATGCAACTGAAAATAAAACCAGCATCCCTAAGTAGCAGCACAGAGCACTGAGGAGATTGTGGCCAGCACTCACCCTGTCTCTTCCTCTTTGGGGACCACAATCTCCACGCTGCACGTGGGTTCCACCTGCACCGTAATCTGCTGCAGGTCGTCCACATGTGGCTCCTCGTGGGGCCTGTAGGGGTGACCAGACCTCAGTTTTTCCTTCCCTACCCCAGTGGTACCTGCCATTCTCAGCCCCCCTGGAGTCCAACTCCTCAGGCCAGTGGGTAGTGAAGAGGCAGGAGTAACCTGCTGGGCGTTCACAGCACCAGCAGGTGGCCAAGTGGTCACGTGGCCAGTGGTCCACACATGGGTGCTGAGTCCTGTCTGGGTATCTGGACCTCAGATGTTGGAAAGGCAGAAGGTTCTGGAAACCAGCCAGGCCTGCAGCGTGTGTGGGCTGAAGCTTGGAGCTCAGTATCAAATGTGGCTGGCTTTGAAGGGTTGGCTGGGGACACCGGGAGGGGTTGTGGGCTCACCGGCCATCCTGTCCCGAGGACTGTGTGCGCCGCCTGTGGGAAGGTATACAGGTAGTGGCTACTCACTGTCAGAGGCAGGGTGTGGGGTTGTGCCCCACCGCTCCAGGACCTGGCCCACCAACCACAGAACCCCACCTAAATCACCCATCCACCCCAAGTCCCCAAACACTACCTACAGAGCCCTATCCACCCACCCAGGGCAGCCCACCCACTCTGTCCAGAGCCCCCCCCCACAAACTCTTCCAACCTGCTCCAAGCAGCCACACTCACCCTCTAGGCCCCACCCTCCTGCCTGCCCACCTGTACCGCGGCTGCTCTGAAGTCTCAGAGGGTGACCGCTCAGGGATGGAGAGGGAGGTGGACGACAGGGTGGTGGCAATGGAGGCCGTGGTGGCTTCCTCAAAGGATGGTGGGGTGCAGGGCAGGAGGTCTGGCCGGCCTGTGGGGAGCAACTGGTGGGCACACTGTGTGGTTGCCACCTAATCGCCCAGGCCATGAGGGGCTCCAGGTCCTCTGGGCTCCATCTCCAGAGCCCACCGGTCCCTGTCCTCTGGGATGCTCCACCCTGTCCAGCCTGCCTATGTAGCCCTGGCAGTGAGTGCCTGACTTTCTGCCCACAAGCTTCTAGTTGCTTCCAGCTGCTGTCAAAACCAAACCCAGAGCTGGGTGTGGTGGCGCATGCCTTTATTCCCAGCACTTGGGAGGCAGAGGCAGGCAGATCTATGTGAATTCGAAGCGAGCCTGGTCTACATAGCAAGTTCCAGACCAGCTGGGGCTACTCAGAGAACCTGTCTGAAAAAGACAAAAAAAACAAAAACAAAAGAAACAAAACAAGCCCAGACTGCTGGCACCTTCTGGGAGCCTGTAGACCCACCATCTGCCCCCACACCCTCACTTCCCCTCCCCGACCCCCAGCCCAGGCTCAGACTGCCTCAGGGTCTTTGCACCAGGTGTATGTCATTCCCCAGCCTGGGATCCTTCACTCCCAGGGACCCTGGAGGAAAAAGCCTAGGCACTAGGCTGTCCGGTCACCTTCATCCTCTAGCGTGGGGTAACTGCGGGCTCCCCGAAGGTCATACTGGGCATCTTCTCGCTCACTGGGGATCTGGCTGGCTGAGAAGGCGGCCGTGGGCCCCAGAGGTTTGACAGCCAGCAGGGCACCCCGTCCCTTCTTGGACGGGGAGGACTTGAGGGCTGGGGAGGGAGGGAGAGGAGGGCTGGGATTGGCACTGCATAAGCACATGCTGGACTAGCACTGTGTGATCTAGGCAGGCAGCTCACCCTGTCTAGGCCCTGGTGGCCTCAACTGTACACCATGGCTTACAGGTGACATCTGTTCCCTCCACCCTGGCTCTGGGGTTCCCCAATCCTCTATTCCCACAGATTTCCTCCCCTCCCATGGGGCAGAGGCCGCTCACAGTTCTTCCGAAAGACTGTGTTGCTCATGAACTTGAAGAAGCGCTCGGCATAGAAGCTGGGGCGGTGGACAGAGACGGTGTCCTAGGACAGAAACAGAGCAGGATCACAGGTGTGCCCCATTTACACCTGTCCTTAGTAACCTTGGCACGTCTTCTGGAAGGTTCTGCCTGGAGTTTCCTAATGCTCCTTTGAAGGGATTCCAAGGGCAGCTTTGAACACTTGAGTAAGAATCACTATGAAGCAGGGGCTGTGGGAGCAGAGCCCGCCACACACAGGACAGGCACTTTCCATTTACAGAAAGCCTCTGCCCAACACTCAAGGTAACAGTGATCACATGATAGGGTCAGAGGTCAGAGCTGAGTTGCATGGAACCAGACCATCCCTCTGCAGGTGGGCAGGGCCTGGAGTCATTTGGGGTTGGTGGGCTGAGGGGTGGGAGGGATGAATGAACGGCTAACACTCACCCCGTCGTGGACAAGGGCTTTCCAAGTGTGCTCCAGCTTCTTGATGAATCTGCCAATAGAAGGGCCTGGAAGGTCATCAGCCTGGGCTGATGCCTCCCAGGTGGGGACAGGCTGGGGACAAAAGCCTCGCAAGTGGGAGGTGGGTGTGACCAAGGTGGAGGTGGACGTGGACGTGGCCAGAGATGGAAGTGGACCTGGCTATGCTAGTTCTGGCTGAGTGAAGTGGGGTGGGGTCAAAGGGCGTGGTTAGGTTATGTGGGTGTGGCTAGGCTCACCTGTAGGACTGCAGGATGTCAATGATGCCGATGTGCAGCAGCAGCCGCTCCCCTCGGCCATTCACAGCAGGGATCCCGCCCATCCTGCAGATGGGAGGGCAGTGTCAGGGGCTCAACTTGGACAGGGCAGGGCAGTAGCAGCAAAGGGAGACCCAAGAGCCAGGGCCCACAGCACGGGCTGCACCCCCACTCCAAGGCAGCCTTGAAGCAGAGCCTCAACCTCCATCCCGGGGGGAGACTGAGTGTGGGTCTGAGAGCCAGAGAGCAGGCTGCTGTGAGGTCCCACTGAGCATGCACACACTGCAGACTCCATGCATGCACAGGCATGTACACATGCCTGCAGACACAGGGATACCTCCATGTACACACATGCACAGAGGCGTACATACCTTCTTGCATGCACACACATGCATGCACACACAGGCAAGCACACCTCCATGCATACACACATGCACACACATACTCAGGCATACACACCTCCATGCATGCACATACTCAGGCACATACATGCACACCCCAAGCACACACAGACATTTTCATGAATACACATATGCATCCAGTATGCACGAGCTCATCATGCACACACATGCCAACATGCACACACATATGTCCACACATGCACATCTTGGTGCACACACATACGTGCACATGCAGACACACCTCCATGTACACACACATGCACACATCCTTGCACACATGTTGGCACACAGGCATGCATACACATGGACACGGCACTCATGCACACCTCCATGTACACACATGCAGACATGCACTTCCATGCACACAAATGCACAGACACATGCATTTACACCTTCCTGCACACACATAGGCACACACAAACCCATGCATGCGCACATGCACACACACAGCACACCCAGGGCAGGAACACCTATCTAGATCTCCTACAAATTCTGTGTTAATGGCAACAGTGCAGGGGCCCCGCCTGGTTACTAACACCGCACAACACCCCAAGCCCCAGTATGCTGCAGGTCTGCATGAGGCCTGACAGCCTCTGGTCACTGCACACTGGACACACCAGGCTCACCTGGTCCCCACAAGACCCCTTGCAGGCCCTATAAAAGCCAAGATGGTCTGAGGGGGGGTTGGTTGAGCAAGGCTCCTGCACCCATTCCCCTGGCTAATCCCCTCTGTCCTCCCATAGCCGGTGACTGAGCTATGGCCAGCAGTTCTCAGAGGACCTGGCCAGGGTCAAAGCAGCTGAAACCCCATGACTAAACACTGGCAGCCATCTCCACTTTGTCCCCACAGCTGGCAACCAGGGATGGAGGGCACCTACCCTCCCCTTTCAGGGTTGTGGTGGGACAAGACTGGAGTGCAGGGTCTTGCTGGTGCACCAGGTCACAGAAAAAGCATTGTCTCTTTTTTTATTGAGACAAGGTCTCCCCAGCCTCAGCTGGCCTGAAGCTTGCTATGTAGCCTAGGTTGGCCTTGATCTCACAGAGATCCGCCTGCCTCTGCCTCCTGAGTGCTGGGATTAAAGGCCATAAAGGCCACCAAGTGTGGCTCCCACCGACTCAGGCCTATGATTACATACCTTTCCCATCCACATCCTAGCGGCTCTGGGAGGTGGGCCCCAGTGTCCCTACTACTTTTGAGCCTGCAGGACACACGGGGGTGAAGACATGGAGGCAAGAAACTAGGGCAGGCAGGGGTTAGCACTGGGACCCCCGAATGCCCCACCTACGTGTCATCTGTATCGATGGCCTCCCCTCGGGCAGCGCCACCCTGGATGGACTCCATGGCTGTGGAATAGAGAGCCTTCTGTGCCACTGGCCGCCTCTCATCTGATGTGCTGTGCGCGCCCTCGGCCTGGCGCTCCCGCTCCTGCTGGTCAATGTTGTGCACACCCAGCAGCAGGCTGTAGTCCATGATCTTAAAGCTCTCCAACACCTAGCATAGGGGACAGAGCTCAGGGGACTGACCAGGCATAAACCCCAAACCCCATGGGGACCTGGAACATCTGCACAACTAAGTTCTGCCATGGTCACCAGGGTCTGAGCCACAGGGACCAGAGAGCCTGGGGTCGCAGTGGACCCAAGCCTATCTATCGCCCCTGAAACCACAGTTATGTCTGGCAGCTCACAGGGATGGGCTCCAGGGGTTCAGGATGGGCAGAGAAGCCAGGGGTCCCCAGAGCTGGGAGTAGAGAACTTCAGAATTTCATATCAAGCCCAGCGTGGTGCTGTATGCACACCTTTAACCCCAGCACCTGGAAGGCAGAGGCAGACAGATCTCTTGTGTGTTTGAGGCCAGTCTGGACTACACAGTGAAAACCGGTCTCAAAACCCCCCCCTAAAACCCAAAACAACCAAAAAGAATTTCTGATAAAGTTCTGGAAAGGTCTGAGAGTGAGGGACAGCCACATAGGAGAGTGGGGCACAGTCGTGGGGGCCAGGGTCCCCTTCTCCTCATCTGTGTGTCTAACAGGGACTCACAAAATGCTCTTTTTTGCAAGACAGGGTCTCCCTGTAGCCCAGGCTGACCTCGATCTCAGAGATCCTCCTGCCTCTGCCTCCAGAGTGCTGGGGTTAAAGCTGTGCACCACCATGCCTGGCCAGGACATGCTTCTTGCTATGTAGCCCAGGTTGGACTTGGTCATGCCTGTGTAGTACTGAAATGACAGGTGTCACAGGCAGGGTTCTACACTGAGCCCAGGGGTTCCCCAGGGACAGTCATCCCTGAGGGCAGCTTACCAGGCAGTCGCGCTGCAGCGTCTTGACCAGGGCGCTGAAGGTGTCGGCATCCAGCAGCAGCCCTTCGGGCATGTCCTGCATGAAGTCCAGGTCCTTGTACGTAGGCAGGCTCTTCTCCTTTTCCTTCCTGCTGGCCCTGCGCTTATATGTAGAGCCCTTGAGGTCAAACTTGAGGTGCATCTTGACCACGCGGGGCAGCACATTGTTCATGACGACCACACGGATGTTCTTCCCACCCGACTGCACACAGTACAGCCCATAGAACTTGGGTAGCAGCGTACGTGGGTTCTGGTTGAGGTTCTATAGCACCCAGGGGGACATAGCACCATCAGCGGGCCACCTTAGACCATGGACAGCCTCATCCTGAGACTTCAAGACTAAGGACCCTCTTCTCCAGATACCCACTCTACACCTGAGCCCCATCCACAGCCCGTCACTGGGGGTCTCTGGGCTGTTACTCTACTGGAGCCGCACGCCCCCAGCCCCTCACTGGGGATTCTAGGCTGTCACTCTACCCCGAGCCACGCCCCCAGCCCCTCACTGGGGATTCTATGCTGTCACTCTACCCTGAGCCACGGCCCCAGCCCCTCACTGGGGATTCTAGGCTGTCACTCTACCCTGAGGCATGCCCCCAGCCCCTCACTGGGGATACTAGGCTGTCACTCTACCCCGAGCTACGCCCCCAGCCCCTCACCGGGGATTCTAGGCTGTCACTCTACCCTGAGCTATGCCCCCAGCCCCTCACTGGAGATTCTAGGCTGTCACTCTACCCTGAGCCTCACCCCAGCTCTCACGGACTAGGAACAGCTTGGGGTCTGCCCTGAGTATCACTCATTAGAAGAATGATGCCCCAAGTGCAAATTTAAGTCTCAGTCTGTGCTGGGCTCTCCTGGGCGGCTGTTCCACCTCTGACACCCCCCACACTTACTACCTGGGCCTGAGGGGTCACAAGTTTCCACCCTGGGCTTAGCCATCCCTGAACCCTGAGCACTGTGGGATGGGGTCTGAGAACCTGGGGTCCTTCTGCCAGGCTCCCTCTTCCCTGGATGAGCCATGAGGATGAGTGAAGAGGATGGAGCTAGCCTAGCCCTTCCTACAAGCCTCTGCCCTGCTTGGGCTCCTTCACAGAATGTTCTGGAAGCTTCCCCTGTTGCCCTCCATCTGGGCAGTGGCCACTCACCATGTAGTAACCAGGCAGTAGCTTCTGCAGGAACTCTGCCTCCTTGTGCATCACCGTTTTGATGATGAATTCATCATCGCTGGTGACGTAGAAGAGGGAGCCACTGGCGCCCGGGTTGGACAGTTCGATCAGCGGCTCATTACACAGTGAGTACTGTTGTCAGAGGTGGGGGACAGTGAGGGGCACAGGGTCGAGGGGACGCCCTGTTTTCTAGCTTGTCTCCTTTCCCCCTATTGCATGCCACTCCCGCCCCCCGACTCCGCCCCAGAATTCTGACTGATAGTCAGAACCCCAGCAGCCATGTTGGGTCATGAGGCAACTTCAAGACAGGAGCTGTATTGCAGCAGAGACAGAAGATGTGGCCACACTCCCTGGTTCAGTCCCAGCTTTTCCCAGCCTTCCCTCTGACATTTATGCATCATCTCTGTAAATCACTGCCATCTGCCCCACACTCTGGGGGAGGATGCGGATAGGTATGGTATGTTTGTTCAACCCATAGCTGTCACCCAGCCTGGCCATCTGTCCTTTAAGGCAGGGACACCCTGCCTGGCTGCGCTCTGCTCCCCATAGCGCCTTTCTGGGCTGCTGCCTGGTCTCTGGGTAGTGCAGGGCCAGGTCAGGACTCTAGTGGTAATCCAGATATCAGCACCATGTCCATGTCCCCCCTCATGTATGTGTCCAGCCCCTTCCACTGTCAACAGCACCTCAAGTTCTACTTCACACCCAAAGGGCTTCAATACCTGGGAGGCTGTGAGTGGCTGCTGACCTGGGGCCACTTGTTATAGGCCATCGCTGACTAATAGGCTTACCAAGTAATCATCGGGCCGGATACCAAAGAGCTCCCGGAAGTATCGGAACGCAACAGGTGCATAGGTCTTGAATCGGAAGTCCTGGAAGTGGTGTGCGGGGGTCAGGTTGCTTCCTTCGCTGTGGAGGAGGACGCAGGAATGTCTGTGAGGGGCAGGGCCTTTCTGGGGCCACCTCTCCCCATCCATCCTAACGCCCAACCCACTTGGGGCCCCAGGATTGGTGAGGACACTGTAGTCAGCTTTGGGCTGTATCCCAATAATCACTGTTCCCTCCTTTTTTCCATCCCTGACTTGTGTGCACACGTATGTCGGGGGATGGGGGGGGGTCAGCCCATCTCCTTATTAGTGATGGGACAAAACATATTTCTCAGAACAGGGCTACTCAGAACATGATAGTGCAGCCCAGCCTCCCGGGTGCCTAGCTATGGGCATGTGACTAGATGTAGCCAATACGACACGTGTTATTTCCTTGTCGCCCTTTCCTTCCTTCCTTCCTTCCTTCCTTCCTTCCTTCCTTCCTTCCTTCCTTCCTTCCGTTAGGATACAGGCCTGATAGCAGGTGCAGTGGCAGCTACAGTGGTGCCAAAAGTCTCCAATCAAGAACAACCAGGGCACAGAGCACCTGTGGCCAGGTGAGGCCTTCAGTCAGCTCTGCGGGGATGGGTGCAGCCAACACGGCAGGGCCCAGGCACACCTGGGGAAGAAGATGCTCTCCACCACGTAAAAGTCCTGCATGAGCACGTCTCGCTCTGGCTTTGAGCTCAGGTTGCCCACGGTGTAACCAATGCCCAGCTGGATGGCACCCTTCAGGGTAGACGAGGTGGTCTGTGGGGACAGTCGGTGGCATCAGGACCCTGGAGTCCGCTCTGTGGTACACTCATGCCCCTATGGGATGGGACACATGGTGCAGGACCCCAGCACCCATCTGGGTCATACCTTCTTGTACGTGGTCTCCCCGGACGCATCCACACCTCGATGACCCAGCCTCTTCCCATGCCCGGGGCCTGGCTGCCCTGTCATCAAGGGGACCTGGGGGGGAGGTCAGGAAGCAGGAAGTGTTAAGTTGCCAGAAGGTTATGGAAGCATAGGAGACAGTCACCCTGGAGAGACAGCATGGTCGGGGTCCTGTCACTGTCACCCAGGGCCAGGCAGGCCTGCTGTTCTCTATGTTTGCCACCAGGGGGTGCTTAGCTCCCAGAAACCCAGCCAGCCAGCTATCCTGCTCAGACCCTGCTCAGAGATTCTCCCTGGCTCCCAGTCCTCCAGCCACCAGGGAAGCAACTGTCCACCCTGCTCTTGCTGCTCCGCCCCCGCAACTCCGGAGTGTCCCAGCGACCCTTTTGGAGAAAGAGTCCCCAACTGGGAGGATGAGGCCCTGCTGCTCTCCCTCACTGTGTATGGGATTCTCAGAGGGACCCCGTGGGTGGGTGGCAGCTCAAAGCCCAGGGGTTCTTGTGTGGGGTATCAGGGACCCCCCCCCCAAGTTCTCAGAAGTGACCTCTGAAGACAACATTCTTCCTACCTGATCACACTCAGCAGTGAGTGGCCTGAGGACACATAGCAGAGAGGCTGAGGTGCGAGCAGCATGAACCCCCTCAACACCCCACCAATTCAGCGAGGACCCCAGACCTTCCCTACCCCGGAGGACTCACCTCAGCTGGGGCTGTTTTCTTCTGAGTCAAACCTGAGGAGGAAGGGCTAAGTTTCAGACTGATTATTTATTTATTATTTATTTTTCCAATGCACAGGTATATGGGAGCCTCAGGGAACCTCCTGTCTCTGCCTCCCCAGCTCTGGGGTCACAGGCCTGAGCCACCACATCTAATGTTTTTTTTTTTTTGGTTTGTTTTTGAGACAGGGTCCCCCTGTAGCCCCAGCTGGCCTCGAACTCACAAAAGATCCACCTGCCTCTGCCTCCCAAGTGCTGGACCGTGCCTGGCACATCTAGTGTTTTACATGGAGGGTGGGGATTAAACTCAGGTCCTCACGCTGGCATGACAGGCATTAACTCTATGCCAAGCCATGTCCCCAGCCCCCACACTGCAATGGGGACAGCCTCTGTGGTGGCCTATGTCACAGGAAGGAGAGGCAGACCTGGAGACAGCTCCCTCTTGATCCCAGAAAGAGACCCAAGAGTCGGATAATCAACATCAACTACTGGCTCTGAAGAGGGAGGAAGGGCCATAAGTCAAGGGCTGCAGGCCCAGCATGGGACACACAGTCACTGACCCAGGTACAGAGTGGGGACCATGCGACCTGGCTGACACAAAAGGTGGTAGTCTACGGGTGGTAATCCTGAACAATCTGATGGCCCTGAGCTGATGGTCTATCTCAAGGCTGACAACCAGTAGGAGGTTCTAGAAGCTGACCCACTCTCTGCCTTGGCCTCTCAATAGTGGAACAGTTTGTGAGCTGGCATCTGGGAGGCAGGGGTGAGAAAGACAGAAGGCTAGGGTGGGCTGAGGCAGAATGCTGGAGAACTGGTGGGATAGTCCCTCCTCAGCTGTGTTACTGGGAACTCCAAGGGTTGCATGTTGAGATTCCAGTGTGGTCCACAGCCTCTCTGGGCACCTGCCTCAGTTTCCCTTCCCTTCCTCACTCACCCAAGCTGGCTAATAAATGGGGGCCATTATTGGGCCCCAGGGACAAAGGGGGTGGAGGAAGAACAGGGCAGGCAGGGGACATGTCTGTCATTTGGTGGCCCTGACTTGGCTCTCGCAACAGCCCTCTCTACCCAGTCAATTACCCTGAGCCAGCAGCCCCATTTTCAAGGAAATTAAGTTTAAAAATGGGGGGGGTGAGTCACCCAGCTGTATGGTGCCATGTGTGCGTGCACCCCGCTCAGCCCACTGCTGACAGTGCCCTGGAAGACAGGTGACAGTGGGGCCACCCAGCCATGATCCCTCTTTTCCTCTGACTCCCCATCCAGGAGGTCCAGGCTGGGCACTCAGGACCAGACAGCCAGCAACAGAGGCTGCAGCTGGAGATACCTGAATCCAACATGGCACAAATAGGTTTAAAGGTCTCCTGCTGCTGTGCCCATTTTATGGGACTTTGTGGACGTCTCAGTCACCCAGAGTCCTGCAGGAAGATCCACTGATCCACAGGAGCCTTCAAAACATCACAACCGGAAAAAAAATCTATTGAGATGGGACCAATTAGCTGGGGGACAGCCTGCAGAGCATGGGAGAGGCCAGGGCTCCAACCCCAGCACTGCAAAAAGAGGGGGAGGGGGAGG